AAAGGTAATGAGACAATACACGTGTCAGAATCAATTTTGAAGGTAAGCAAAAAATCACTTCTTTCCTTGGTAATCACTTTATGAATGTCATGCAGATTCCTTGCTGCTGTGTGAAAACTTTGATCTTTATTCCTTTGTGTGGATGATTTTCCAAATCCTTCTCTTTTATTCACGAGTACGAATGTTTACACGAAACGAGCCGTTCGTGACCTCGTTCAAAACTTATTTAATTAACGAGTCAAACTCAACTCATTAAGGCTCACTAGGATTCGAAAATAAAATTTTTTATGTAATTTTTTATAGCTTAGTTGATTAATATTGATAAATGAGCTGAACTCACGTTCGTTTATCTACTCGTTTAGCTCGCTTAGCTCTATAAAAAGCTCAAGCTCGATTCAACTCATTTATACTCTATTCATGAGGCTTGTGGTATTTATAAGTACAACCAATTATATTATAAAACAACATGGAGAAAGTTGGTGTATGTATTGATCCAACGGTTAAAAACTTGGGCAAAATACATGCCCGATCACCTAATTTGATCCCCATTCAAACTTATTTCTCCCAATAAATTTACCAATTGCTCCAAAAATTTGGATATATNATATTTTTTGAGATATCTCTATGTTCACTCCGAGACTTCACCACCAAAGACTAACAAAAAAAAAGGCAAAAATAAACCATGCATGATTAGCAAATCCAAAAAAAGTTCCAAGTTTAAAGAATGTAAAGAGCCTCATGCAATCGTGGGGTCATAATTCCATACACCATTTTTCTGTATCACTAGTCAAAAGCCATAAAGATAACTACTAATCTATATTTCTTTTTTCCTGGTGACTTTAGTAGAAAAGCAGTGCCTAATTTCTTAAGCTGGCTTTTACTGCTTTATCGGCATAAAAAAAAACAAAAGTTAGCCATGCATTAAAAGTCTCCTACTTTCTTTAAAAAAGGACCTTTTCTATGTTGTTCATAACTTACCCAGATTAACAAATCAATCAACAACTGCAAATACTATATAGATTATAGGCACATGTTCCTTATTTCTTAATACATTTTTCCAGATCGTATATTTAATATAAAGTACAAATAAACTACAAAACTTTAGTGTACAGAATGCCTCTCGTAGTTAAACAGACGAAATCTGAGAAAAATATTAAAGATTCCGCCGAAGAAAAAAAGGAAAGAGAGAGACAGAGAGAGAGATGCAATCTTTTTAAGCAGAACTCACTCGGGAAGTTTCAGACGATGGAAAAGCACAAGGACGTTTTGTTGTTTGCGGGCAGTATAAAGAAAACCCAAATTCGCACCATTGATATATGGTCCCAAACTCTGCAATTAACCAGCCAGAGTTGTTAAATAAAATGCAAGTTAAAACAAGCCATTCAGTTATAATATTGTTATAATATAATCAATTACCCTGCCATCGAGTTGAAGAAGCTCGCCTTCGACCCACTTGGAGTCTCGAAGCCCGAACTTCCCAATTCTTCCTTGGCCTTTGTAACTTGCAACCTTAAAAAAAAAAAGGAAAAAAACACGGTATTTTGTTGATGTTATTTAAATTCGGTCATTGTCCGAAAAATATTACATTTCCAGCCTCATTAGAGAGAGAGAGAGAAAGAAAACACATACAACTCCTAGTTCACGTGAGTACAATTTTCCCTTAGTAATGCGATTTGCCTTCCCTATTTTAGCACGAAATGCTACCTGCACATAAATCGCCCTTTAGACGTGTGTTTAATATAAAAAACTGTACTCTAAAGGGAGATATTTGGTAATGGTGTTACTAATAATGGAAGTACCTCGTGTTCTTATCTTGGTTCTTTTGTTTTCTTTAATTCAGTCAAAACTAACGGTGATTTTTCTAATTTATCTAATTTATCCCAATAAATAATTACCTGGCCGGCAGGAAGATTCATATATCCAGTCAGCTTGACAGCCTCAACATACTCGAAGAACTCAACATCAGAAGACATATCATCTTTATGTGTGTTCCAATTACCATATTTACGCCTTAATTGTATGACCTCAGGTCCATATGGGCCAAAAGCACCAACATAAAGGCCTGCATTCCACAAATAGGCATCGAAAATGAAAACTATGCACATTTTTCCCTAATTTCACGTGCATTGCAAACAAACTCACCATCAAAAGGATCTAAATCACCATTGTAAGTAGTGATCCGACTAAAATTAGTATACTCGGACAGTTTATTTCGTTTCTGTGCTTGACTGACTGCACGCTTCACTAGTTCACGTATGTCTTTGGAGAGCTATAGGAAATTAAGGTAAAAAAAAATTAATAAATCATGGATATATAAATTACTAATAAGTGCTTAACATTACTGGAAAGAATAAAAAAATATCTGAACAGAAAACCATCATTAGGATGCACCATTTCTGGTAAAAAGTATCATGTATTAATAAGCAAGATGTAATGATGTCAGCATATCATAAAAATAATCATAATTTGGTCACAAAGTATCAAGTCTTACTTACGTTGATATAATTGATTTATTTCCTTGTATAATTGATTTAGCTAGGTCTTAAAGGAAATGGGTCATTTTGGATTTCCCTTTTTATATTGTATATTTATGTGAAGATTAACCCTATATAGATGTGTAGTTCTGAGGTGTTTTACTCAAACAATAAAAGTTAAAATTCTCTTGAAGTTATGAACTTAAATAAATAAATATTAAATTTAATCTGAAAAAAGGCTCAAAAGCTTTTAAATTTAATACCTTAGGAGAAACTTTATCCGAGTTCCAAAATGCATTGGCAACTTCAGGAGGCATAAGTTCCGAAAGGCCTTGTGAAACTAGTGCAGCCACCTTATCTTTCGACACAATATCTTCTTCAGTATTATTATTATTATTATTATTATTATCGTGATATCCCTCACGAATATGCAACACAAAGGAATCCCTCTCAACATTCTCAATATCAGCCGGAACACGAACATACTCATCCTTAGCGAGACTGTCTTCTCTATTATGCAACACACCTCCAATGTAGAGCTTTACGTCTAAATCACTTGCATTTTCTATTGTGTCACCATTTTCTTCTGCTGAAGCTCGATCTCTGTTATCAATATCACTATCTTCTTCTGTGTTAACTTCATCACTAGTTTCCTTCTCATTATCGTTTTCAATAAACTGTTTCAAATCATCATCACTTGTATCCTCAGTTGTAATGTCGATCCTTGTCACTTTGAACTTAAGTTCTGGGATTTTTTCGTTTAGAAAATTTATGACGCTCTTTATTCCTTCCTCGGAACTTTCTTCCGAATCAACTTCTCGTTTCTCCACTTCATTTTCTTCTGGCTTGACATCGATTTTTACGGATGAATTTTTGTCTTCAACCACTGAGGATCCTTTGGTGGATTTATCAGTCGAGGAGCTCGAATTTGCTGAATTTCCTTTGACCGATTTTAGAAATGCGACCTGTGGAGATGCACAGAAGCAGAAGCATTTATGAGGCAACTTAGAATTGGTATTACTGTAACTTACTGAAACGTAACATTCCATATTTTGAAAAAAAAAAAAAAAAATGTCCAATTGTTAGTTTTTGTACTAAATTTAAGCTAAAACTTGTCAAAATCCACTGATAAGTTGGAGAATATTCCTTTCTGTGTCTACAACATAATGAAGCAAAACGAATAGGGTAATGAGACCTACGTTTTGAAATCACCCAACGGAACTTGATTGAATGGCCATAATAATAACTGAAATAATAAAAATAACGCTTTTATCTGAGTACTGGCTGCAATATCATATCATAATACATTTTCAAACTACCGAATTTTCACATATTAGAAAATGCTAGCAAAAGATATTAGAAAAACAAAGATAATTTTTGACAATTTATATTAAACGATTATACAAAACTGCAATCGACACCTGCATTTTATATCCTTCGTTGTCCTGAACAACAAATATCTCGAACAGTGGAGTTCCAGGAGATGCTGTGATCAACTGCCTGCAACAGTTGGCCATTACCATAGACTTTATGCGTGCATATAAAGAGTCTCAATCTTAATTCTCTGAATTTTACAGTTATCACCTTGGACTATAACATTTTCCTATAAATCTGCCTGTTCCGGGTGTGATCTGGACTAATCTCCCGTCACCCAAGTCCTTTGAATAGCCAACCCACCAACCAATCTGAAGGGAAAAATGCTCTTTTATCAATCAATAAAACGAATTTTGAAAATAATCCAATCAGGAATATCAGCAAGTGCCATGAATAGAATTATTACCAGCCCACTTCCTGTATTTCGGCATAATCTTGAAGCATCATGGTAACGCTCTTCGTCAATTGCACTCTACAGCCAATAGCAAAAGATCAATATCAGGAACATTTTTCCAATTATGTAAACTTAAATGATCCGTTTACATTACCTTTAACTCCGACATAATTTCAGCAATACTGTCTTTGGACGTAGCCTCTGCAATGGCCGTCTTCAACTTAGAAGCTTCCCCGAAGTCTTCCATCTCTATTGCATCCTCTAACTGAAACTGAAAATCACAAAAATCCAGCCTTAGCACCAAAATTCATACAATTGTAATGAGGTTGTTGTTAAGCTCTTTCATAAAATTTGAGACTCATCGACAATTTACAGCAAAGACTCGAACTTTGATAAGAGGCACCAAAATCAATCATCCACAACCTCTTTTTCAACCTTTCTCTTCCAAATAACCATTGCAGATAATCTTTTTCGAACAGATGACAACACAAACACAACGTTTAAGATATGGGCAGCACACAAATTTAACTATAATTGAGAAAACAAAATTTACAACCCTAAGAAGAAATTGCTAACAACAGCAGCTTTAAGCGCAAATAACATACACAAGACAAAAACTTTAAACATTATCAGTAATCAGAAACAAATCCCACAAAAAGAAAAAAGCTTTCTTTTTCAACTCAAAAAAGTATCGCGGAATCGAACCTTGAGAACAGAGGCATAGTTCTCAGCCTGCTCGACCTCAGAAAAATGGCGGGTCCACCTGTTCCAGTCCCAATCCTCAGACGGCGATGACGATGAACAAGGCGAGGACGAAGAATAGGAACCCACACCATCGCCGCCACAATCGGCGCCGTCCTCGAGATTGCAGTTGCATCGGCTAGATGTATTGAAATCCCTTCTTCTTGTGATGTGAAATCTATCGGGCAAATTGAGTGGTGATTTTTTCCTCAAGAGGGAGCTGAAGGTTTCAGGGGTAGCGGTGGAGGAGCGGCGGAACTGCCGCAGAGGCACGGCCGAGTTCCCCGGGGCCCAAGCGTTGGCCACCGCCATTCTTCGCTGCCTGCTTATGTAGTTGAGTGAAACTCTTGTTCTGGTGAGGGAGAGAGACGAATATTTCTGTTATGGATAGGATTTTTTGTTCTTCTTTGTAAATAAATAAAAAGTATTTGTCAAATAAATAGAATAGATAGATTCATCAAACAAATCGAAATACTTTGAATATATGTAAAACTATTCTACTCGTTTTTTTTAATGAAAAATTTAAACTCGATCTAAATAAATTCTACCTTACTTCAAGTTGACTTTTAAGTTTTGTGTTTTTTTCATTGTCGAGTTGAGTCGAACCTTAAAGTTTTGTGTTTTTGACTTTTGAGCCAAATGAAGATATTTCTATCCACATAGGAGTTTTGAAATAGTCACCNTTTTTTTTTTTTTTGGTACAATGAACCTTCCGGTTTCCGAATCCTCGAGGGGACCGACTAAGTGTGAAATTTACACATTAATTCTATCAACAGCAAACTTATATAGCTACAATTCAAAATGAATCTAGCACCACAAAAAGCCCAAAGAGCAAATGCAAAGGAAAGAGTACATCTGTACAAAAAATTACATCATGCAAGCCCAATTGAACAAGACACACCTAAGCTATTTCCGTTTACACCACTCACAATTACATTTTTTTTTTTTCTTAATCAAAAGTTGTATTTCAAATTACATTCTTCATTTTCAATCAGTTCTGAATTACTATAGTTGTCTCCGTAAAAACCCGGTCAATAAAAAGCAAGATACTTTTCATGACCATTTCTAAAAAAAGCAAGCCGATCCGAAGACTCCATTAATGCAAATTTGTTTCAACAAAATTTCTCTTTGTTAAGCCTACACAAACGTACAGATATTAAAAAAAATCCAATTAACAATAATTATGCATAAAAAAAATTAACTATCAAATATATCTAGAAAATAAAAAGTTACCTCCTACCATCTTCCGTGTAAAGTGCAAAAGAGTAGATGAATACGCATATCCATCATGTATCTCATCTATAATCTTTTTGTCCTCCCGTCTTCTGACTCGGGAATATAGTTTAGCTTATACATATGGACTTCTCCATTATTCATCACAAAATTGTTCATGCGGAGCGAGAAAACACATTTTCCACCATCCATGTTATGCAACTCAATTAACCCAGCTACCATATCTCTTATTTTTCTCCTGTACTTCACGGGAGTATAGCGATATGTGGCTTCAGTTGTTGGAATAGTAAACGTCATAGTAGGTTCGCATTTACAAGTTGCGGAATATAAGAAGAGAGAGTGCAGCCGAACTGTTCATATACGATCACATTATGTTCATCATCAAAAAACTTCCCACACAAGATGTACTTGTTGTTGTGTGTTAGGGAGTATAATTGTTCATCCTTAGGACGACCATTTTCAAATGGCGCGAGGCGGACTCTCGTACGAGATGTAATTAGTTCCCAGTCTTTGTGTTGTGATCAACATAGTCTTCAGCAAAACTAACATAGCGATACTTCACTCTTGCCGTTAGCATTTTCTCTATCTGCATAATGATTACTCATTTATTAGAAAACATTCAACATAAAATGACCAAATGTTTTAAGAAGTGTTCGACAAACTTGGCAATCTTGTATAATAAATACTAAACACACATAACAATAAAGACATAACTACTCATCTTTGTTAATTAATTATACATACGATTCAATGCAAGGAAAAAAAAAAATCTGCATGTTCAGGGATACATATAAGAAAAGAAAAAAGAAATAAAGACAATATTCGAGAGAAAGTGAGAAACTGATCGATGACGTATTAGAAAGAGATAGCCAGAGAAAGATTCTCGGTCAATAGTAGACCGACAGACAATAGAGAAGAGATCAGTGATCCATGCAAAGACTAAGACAACCCTGAACCGACGAAAGTCGCGTACAGGTCAGCCACAGAAAGACCTTCAGACCAGTGTGAATGGCAAAGTGACCCCGAGGGTCACAGTGGCAGAGGAGCAACAGTTATTTACTCCAGCCATTTCCATCATATAGCCGAGACGGCGAGCCAAGCCTAACAGTTTGGGCTTTGCCGCCGGAATTCTCGGGAAATGTTTAGCGATCTCTTCACGTCTCGGGTTTGAGGAGTTGCGCTCAAGCTCGAACACATAGAAAAACGTAGTTGAGCCTCACGTCGATCCTAGTTGACTCGTGAGATAGTGCCTACAGCCACCTTATGGCGGAAGGTACGCTAGTTAGAGAGCCGAGGAGTCGGCCTCCCTGAGTCCGAGAGTGTTGCCTTAGCTAGGGCGATACTGCTAAGAAATAGATGAGCTTCTTTTGAAGCCCCGAGATATGGTTCATGAAGTTCTGTTTGGGATTTTTCCGGAGGCACATAGCGAATTTTGGCGAACCGCCATGGCGAACTAGTACCAGCGAGACCGGCCGATGCTGGGACAACCCTATTGCTGTATCCAAACAGAGACCCTCAGTTCTTGAACGTGGGTTAACGTTGTATAACAGCCATAAGGTCGGGTAAATTATGGAGGCTTGAAATAAGAGTCACTTGTCCGAATTTGTCTGGGGGCTTGAAGCCGGAGTTGCCATGGCATAGCCAAGATCACTAGTAAGAGGAAGACATAATTCAGAGTTAGAAATCCTAGTCTTGAGTTTTGATTTGTATATGGACTTGTAGTTTAGAGTTTGACATATACCTTAGTTTAACATTTCTGTTGTGACCATTTTTGTTACGTTTTTCGTTACTGTTTTGTTATTCTTTTTCTCCCGTTTTAAGTCTTTTAGTTGGTTTTTAGTTTGTTTTATAGTTTATTGCGTGTTTTGCTCTATTTTGGCTTTTGATGTGTTTTTCGTGTATTTTTGTCGGTTTTCTACGTTTTCTTCTTGTTTTTGGTGTGCAGGTCATAAGCCCCGTGAGGAATAGATTGCATAGAAGGGTTCATTGACGACATATAGGAAGAAGGGAAACTCAATTTCAAGCTTGTACGAGTCCGAATGGACCCAAAACGCAAAGTCGCACGAAGTCACACGAAACACATGTTTGGTGTGCTAGTCAAGAGCTTTGAGAGAATTGGATTTCAAGAATAATTTGGCCATTCAAGCATCATTGAATAGAGAGGTCCGTTAGCGACGCGTAGGAAAAAACAGAACTCAATTCCGAGTTCAGACGAGCCCAAAACGCAAAGTCGCGCAGCCCAGTTTCCTTCTTAGCGGCGCTAACCAATCATAACGGGTCCAGAGTATTTGTACTGAAATGGTTAGCGGCCTCTAAGGGGGGTTAGCAGCCGCTAACCCTATCTGGCAGACTTTTCTCCATGTTTTCTTCCACTTTTCTCCATATTTCCTCCATGATTCTTCTCCATATTTTGAGGCACTCACTTCTCCATGTTTTGTGGCTTGAATGGTGGAGGAATTCCTCCATGTCTTGAGATTTTAAGTGGCTTAAATGATGGATGAAAATAGTATAAAAGAGGAAAGATGTGCAAGACATGAGATATCCCTTCTTGAAGAGGGTTATCCCCTCTTCTCCTTCTCCTTCTCTTTCTCTTGTTCTTCTTGGTTATTTTTCTTGTTTGTATTTTGGAGATTAAGCATTCCTCAAGAACTCGGTTTGGCTTGTACGTTTGATTTCGATTCTCGACTTGGATTAATAGTAAGTTTTCCTCATTTGATTATGAATATGAAAGTTTGTGTTAATTCTTTTGTTGTTGTTGATTTCATTATGAGTAGCTGATCCTCAAGCTAGGGTTAGGGGATAATCATTCCGGTTTGTTCTCATTTGTGTGCATGACGGTAGCTCAATCTTTGCGAGTTGTTTTAATTTGAAATTGATAAATTCATACTTGATAATTCGATATAACCTAAGAGTGACACTTAAGAAAATTTATTGATATAATCGAAGAGTGACACTTCGATTTTGCACGATTGAATATTGATTTATTAAGTTTGAGTTTGTTAATTCTACATGATTAGTTTATTAAACACCTTCTAATCGAATTAGCGACTTTTAGAACCGAAAGGGGAGGAGTCGTAGAATTAATCGATTTTAAAACCGAAAGGGGAGAAATTGGTGGAGTTTAGCTCGTTTGGAGTAGACATGTTCGGAGACGTATTGCCTATGTGTTAATTGTTTCGTTAATTAATTCGTTTATATTTATTCGCATGTTACGAAGAGTTATTGAGGATAAACCGCAAAATGAGTTAATTAGTCGAGCCTTTTAACTGAGTTATTGATTGCCGTTAAATGAGTGTAGAACCAAAAGCAATTATTCTCGATTCCCTAGCTTCTTTATCTTTGTGTCGTTTATATTTTTAGGTAGATTGTTGTTTATTTGATTTCTTAGTTAATAATTCATTCAAAACCAATCTTTTGATTAGAATGTTTATGATTTATTTTCCTTTTGCATTTCACATAAGGACCATTAACATAAATGACCCTAATTTGTATGACAAGCAAAGATTACGAAATAAACAGAACACTACAAACCCTAATCTCATATATGCATTCAACAAACAAGCTTTGAAGGTTTAACCATACATAAACAATCTATTAAAACATAGGAAGAAAGGCAATGTGAAATTACCTTAGTATATGAGATCGACAGCGAGAATCCTAATTTGTCACGAACTGAAAATAATGAATCAATTCTTCTTCGACCATATTGAAAGATATTAAGAAGTCGCCATCGACGTGAGATTAACAGAAGTTCTTCGTCGATTTAGTACATTTGTTTAAAATTTGGGATTTTTCGTAGTTGAGATTTTTTGAATTTGGGGTTTTCGTTCTGTCTGTAGCAGTGGGTGTGAATGTGAGACGACGGTTCTAAACCAAGGGACATAACGGGGAGTTTGTAAAATAACTAACGGTGTTTGCACCCAGAGACAAAAAGGGAAGCGTGAGCCGTCGACACTAAAACATGATGGGATAGTATGCATTTTCTATAACACAGGGGGTAACACGCACATTTATAAAAACACAAGGGAATTTTGTGCAATTTTCCCCATAATATATATATTGATCCAAATGTGAACTCTACCCATTTTGACATAATTCTAACAGCAGCAAACTTATATAGCTACAAATCAGAACGAGTCTAGTACCACAAAAAGCCCAAAGAACAAATGCAAAGAGCAGTGTACAACTCTACAAAAAATTACATCATGCAAGCCTCATGAACAAGACACATCCCATTCTCATCACCTGATTCCCTTTACACCACTCACAATTACATTCTTTTTTCTAATCAAAAGCTGTATTTCAAATTACATTCTTCAATCCCAAGCAGTTCTGAGTTACTATAGTTAGACCATCCGTAAAAACCCGGTCAAAAGAAGCACGGACTGCCATGAAAACAGCTCAGGCCCGATTTAGGCCCAACTCCCCAACCATCACCACCACTTCTCCAGTGGGCCCCGCATTCTCGGGCCTGATCAAGCCCTGCAGCCTCAGAAGGTAGCTCTGGCTCGTGGGCTGGCTCCTCACATACCGGGCTGCATTGACCACATTGACCGGGCCTTGCACGGGCTCCGTCTGAATATTAGACAGCGCACTCAAATCAAGGTTCGGGAAAACCGAGCATCGGCACCTCGGGCATTTCACGTTCAGCCGAAGCCACTGGTCGATACACTCCACGTGGAAGTTGTGGGCGCACGGGAGGCCACGAACCTTGCCATTTTGTGTGTTGGTAATAATTTATTTATAAGTTTTCGCGATTTCGAAAAAAAGATAATTACGACAGTGAATTTTCTCTAATTAGGACCTAAAGTAATGAGCTGTACCTCATTTCCAACACGAAACTCTTCCAAGCAAATCGGGCACTCACTGCAATCAGTAGGAACTGCTTTCATCATGAACTTTGGAAGTTCTTGAATGAGTGCTTCCACTGCCTCTCTCTGCATACAATATGAAGACCGTTCGAGAAAATTAATTCCAATGACTTTTTAATTAAGTAAAAAATTTATGATAAATAGAAAATATCGAGTCGCAAATTACCCTTCAGAATCGTATGTACCATTTCGCCATATGTTTCTATAGTTCAAATTAATGCATTTGAAGAGTTTAAATTTAAAAGCCATACACAGAACTCAAAGAGGTAATATCTGAAAAGGGTTTATGAAATTTTTAAAAAATGATTAGGTGAAACCTCAGGGATAGATTTTCAATTATGCACAACTCAATGTCGATTATATTTACATGATAAATCGAGCAAATTCCATTTGTTACCTGGGCTGGGGTCAAGTACAGTCCAGGATGATATGCAGCTGCATCTTGGCCCATCACTCTCATCTCTTGCCCAGCAGCTTCAATGGCCCAATCTGGCACTCTAACCATATCAACCACAACCTTAAACCAAGAAACGAGCTCGACAGGTCAAATTAGAGGTAAATTGTAGGAAAAAAGGTTAATAGGATAGTGAAGTGAATACATTCAAACTAGCAAATTCCAAGTAGATGTAATGCCAAAACAATTTTATTAATATTATTAAATAATATCAATCAATCATCCTTACACACTACATCAACTTTAATTCACTATTCATCCATTCACATAATTTTAACTAATCATCACTTCACATCATCTCTCTCCTATTTTCACATCAAATCAACTTTAATTATTTTATTTTAATATAAACTCAAAATTCCACTAACAACAAACCATACCACTTTTCTTTCAAAACTATGGTTAATCAAAAATATTTGTTTTGAGCGAATATATTTGTATCCAAACACGCCCTAAGAATATTAGGGATTCAAAATTAAGTATAGAATCTACATATGTGAAGTCTGCATCTCATGAGCTCATTGTGCTAAAAAAAGACAATCTCAGAACATCTTCGATTTTGAATGTAATTAGTTAAACCGAGCTCACTCCATATTCTGAAACGGGAATCCCTTGTTGTGCACGCAGTTGATGTGCCTGCCTTCTCGTTAACCACTGGAAAACAAGGGAATAAATTTTAAAATTAAAAAAAAAAAAACACACTCAAGGTCAATAGAGCTGTTTTACACATCCCATAGAAGTAATGTCAAAACCCAACTTTGCGATAAATGATGGGGTAAATTTTGTTTAATCCATTTCATTTTGGGCATGAGAGTGAGCGGCACAGAGTAAAACATGTGATCTACAGAATGAAAGAAGAAAATTGAGAGGGGAATAAAAACTGAGCAATAGGAACGCTTAACCTTTCCCATACAGATGAAAGCAATGCATACAAGCCCAGAATAGCTGAAAAGCAACCAAATAAAGAAACCCCATTTCTGGCCATCCTCCGGCAACTGAGAAAAAATTTCAGACATATATACTTATTCCATCTGCTGCAGTATATTATTCATTCAGTCCAGACTGAAGAGGAACAAAATAAAATTACACAATTTTTCGCACGAGTGAACCACAGGGTGCCAATGACAGTCCAAGCCAAAAGAAAGGGGTAAAGTAGCAGAACAAGAATCGATAGTACAACAGCCCTTCCAATAAAGCGTGCATATCTTTGCTGCCAGCCGAGATCCCTAGGTGATAATCAAAGAACAACAGAGCATAAGACTTCACAGAATTCGTAATTCAATACACTTGAGGTCTGATTTATGCAACTTACATCACTATTCTTAACCTATTTGCATTAATTAACTCAAAGTAAGCCAGCCTAAGAAATATTATTCAAATTACATCATTTCACATGATAGAAAAATGTGGGTAATGTACAACAGCACAAAACTACAAACAACTATAAGGTATTATATGAAAAATAGCCTTAGCATTTGAAAGGAAAGTAGTACTTACAATCCCATTCCGGAAGCCAATCCATTGTCCACAAACATCAAGAGCCGGAAAAAGAAGACTGTGGTATAATCAACCTAACAATGCATGACAATAACCACCATAAAATTGTTTAGAATTTCAAGCTTTCATCAAGATTATACGAAACTTGACTGATTTTGCTTTTCAAAGACATAATTATTACTCACCACAATCCATATGTGCAACGGGTACATACATGAATGGTACTTGCTCCAATTGATTACAACAATTATTCTAACATAACAGTTAAGAAATCACCCAAAAATCGACGAAGAAGACAGTAATCAATTATATAGATCAGTTAAACAGACATCCACTGCTGAAAACAAAGAGGGCGAAAGAAAATTCATGACATAAAAAAAGACACAGCCTTTTACTCAAGAAATGAGATTCGAACATAAAGATGAATAACCTCTGAGCTTCAATTAAAAAGGATACATACTTGTAACGAGCATAGACAAGAAGAACCCATCATACCTGCATAACCCATTAACCATAAAGGCCCGAAGTTTAAACAAATCAACACGACTATTCAATTGCGGGTTCATTTATCGCTTAAGAAGGGTGCAAATTTCAGTCCCTTCTTCATTTCCTTATATGAAACTTTCGAGGGGCGAATTCGAAAAAACTCACCACTTGAAATCGACGCCTTTGATCGCCATTCAGAGAGAAGGTTAGCCCTGAATCCAAGATTTGGTTTTCATTTCACGAATCTAAGCTTAGAAATACTCTGTGCCCACCTCACCAAACGCTGCCAACCTTTTCTTTAAATTTCTAGAAGAGTACTGAGAATATTGAGGGCTGACTGAGTGTGAAGAACAAATGAGAGAAAAAGAAAAAGAAAATGTTGGATTTATTAGAGAATATAAAGGCAATGTTCGAGAAGCAATCTTCGAATTTGATTAGTTTTCTTTATTTTTATTTTTATTTTTTTTTCTTTTTTCTTGGTGAAATAAGCTTTTAATAAATGGTTAAAGAAAGTGACTATGGGTAACGGTGAATTGTCTAGTTAAATTTTAAAATTATTTACATTATTTTATCTTATGAATTTTTTATATATATGAAAATAACAGAAACAAAACATTTATATGTAAAGTGGAATTATTGAACTCCTATTTTGTACTTGGGGGGTAGTAAAGTATTTATCTATAAGTCATTGATTAGTATCTAAACTGTAAATGTTGTACCCTACATTGACCTTCTAATATAAGGAATAGAAAATAAATAAATTAGGGCATGATTGTATATAATTTGTACAGTAAATATCCCACTCAAAATTCAAATTTAACTCAACTTTAACTCAACTCCACTGTCTCCAATATTATCAATATAATTAAATAATATCAACCACTCATTCTTATACATCACATCAATTTTAATTCACTATTCACCCACTCACATAATTTTAACTAACTATCACTTCCAATCATTTTCTCTTACTTTTACCTCAAATCAACTTTAATTATTTTATTTTAAATATTATTTTAATATATCCACTAACAACTAACCATACTATTTTTTTTCAAATTTAACTATAGTTCAAAAAAAACTAATTTTTTACTAGTTGAATTCATATCCAATCACCCCCTTACTATTCTCCATCTCCCTCATATCTTAGACAGAAATTTTTATCATAACTAAAAATGAGTAATTCTTTTATATAAAAATCATAACTTTAGGGATTATTAATATTATTATTATTATTTCCAAAAAGTCGTATCTCTATGATTTCCTTGAGTTGGAAAGACCATAATTCCATCTTATTTGTTACTCAACCTATGAGGGAGCTAAATTTTTATTCACTAAAAGGAAGAGTATTGTTTGAACGATGCAAACTGCAAATAACAAATGACTACATATTTCTATTTAATTGATCAATTTCTGACATTCATCAAGGTAAATAGTTGAAAACAAAACCATCAATGAGATCATCAAATTCCCTTCCCCTGTGGATTTGTCTTCTCATGACTTCCGAGAAGACTGCTGCAAGTGAATAAAGATATTGTTTTGTTCTCAACTGAAGTACTTTTGCATGGCGTGATCTGGATTAGTCGAAACCGAGTGTCGATCCCTAACTATTGCGATTTACATGAATTCGTACTGAAAATCGAGTAAACCTTACGACTTTGATCTGGTGAAACAACAAGTGTTTGATTCTTATGTAACACATCTTCTGAAAATTGTTGATCAATGAAAACCAGAAAGAAATTGATTGTGAAGTTGGCTCAAATAACATATACAGTATAACAAAAATTAATTCAATTCACATTTCTACTATTATAGTATTATGAACAATTATAAAGAGTTACAATATTTTGATTCCCTCTTGCAATTTTTTACAAGTAGGGTCTGGCCACAACTCGCCGGCCAGGTGGCGCAAAGTGGGGCCTCGTTAAAACCCAATCGAAGTAAAACCCGTGTGGGAAAAACCTCCGACTGGGAAAAAGAGTACCCCATCAATCAGAAACAAGAAGAAATACATATGAAATTAATGGAGTCCCGAATCACTTAGTTAGCAGCAATCATGGGCACATCAGTGGTGGAGCAGTCTTCCTTCCAGAAAAATCGGCCATCGTCAGGTAGATTGTCCCACAGAGAGGGCTCGTCCGCCGGCAGCTCAAAGTCAAAGAAATCCATCAGCTCCTTTTCGAAACTTTCGTCCACAGGATTCGACTCGTTCGTAAATCGACTCTCGTCATTAATAGGCTCGCCTTCCTGATCCATACTCTCCTCGAGCTCGCGAATCCAATCCTCGTCATCAATAGGCTTCTCGAGGCACTCACCATCATCGTGATCCATACTCTCCTCCAGCTCACGAACCCAATCCTCGTCAGCAGCCTCTTGACTGCCCGACTCTCCGAAAACCACGTCATCATGATTATCCATAATACTCTTCTCCAACTCACCAACCCAATCCTCGTCGTTCGCCTCTTGAGTGCCCGATTCTTCGAAAACCACATCATTGACCAAAGGCGGCAAACAATTAGCAGCAACACTCTCAACTTCATCGTGATTATTCATAATACTCCCCTCCAACTCACGAACCCAATCCTCTTCGTGAGTGCCAGATTCTCCGAAAACCGCACCATCAACCGAAGGCGGCAAACAACTACTACTACTGCTCAATAGAAGATCCAGCTCGTGGGCCCAATCCACCGTCTCCTTCGAACCCGACTCTCCAAAAACCACACAATCGGCAGGAGGAATCGACACAACAACACACGAAGAACACGAACAATTGGTCGAGCCCTTCCCCTGCCATTTTCGCTTGAGAACACACAGAGCATAATTCTTGGAATCTTCTTTAATGGCGTTGGACTTCAAGGCGGTGTCGGGAAGAACGTACTCCGTCATCAGCCACACATAGTCGTCGTCTTCGCAGGAGTTAGTCTTGGCCGGCCGGTACCTGAAAGTTCTCCTGTAGCCTAAGATCACGCCTTTGTCGTCACCGAAAATTGGGGTGGCCTGGCCTTTGTTGGACCAAGTCCCCCCTTTCCCCACGTTGCGCGAGAATCTCTTTCCGGTTTTCTTCAGCCTCGTGAAGAAGTAGCGCTCCTTTTCGCGGCGGTCGGCGTCTCCGAAAATGTCGCGGGGCTCTTTCGGGCCGTAAAAGTCGTCCGTGGCTATGAACTTCTCCTCCGTCATCGGTCTACCGATGACTTTGTTCAGCAGATATGTTATTCTCTCGGTTTCTGAAGGAGAGAATCGAAAACCTTTCGACATGTTGTTGTTGTGAATCGAAAACCTACGTAGTTATGTTTATATATTGATGAGATGAGATTTGTGTTTGTTTTCTGCGTTTGCTGAGTTTTGTGAAATATGCGGCGCTTGCATTTATATAGATTATATATAGAGGGATTTTGGGCTAGTTTAGTGGGCTTGGTTAGCCAAATATGTACTAAGCTTCTTTTATTATTTTTTCTTAAATTATAATTTTTAATTTGGACATACGATATATTTATTTCAACGTGTTACATATTTTTAGTTAAGTTGCAATAGCTAAATAATAGAAATTGATATTTTATAAAATAATATTACCATATATTATATTTTTCTCATTATATGAAAAAGTGATTCTATTATGCTTATCATATAAATATTGCAAGATAAAATAAATAACAGTAAAATGTTTTTCTTTTTTTTTACAATAATAAAACTCATCCAAACTTGTTTTCACATTTATTGTAATTTTAAATTCAAAACAATAATCACATTTCTAAGAAAAGAACAAAAGTAAATAATTTGCGCGTAAAATTAAATACTTCAAAGTGTTAATATTATTATTGTCTCTACATAAGTTTCAACCAAATAAATGAATCCACATATTTTAATTTAAAATAAATGCAATTAAAAATCAAAATAATAAGAAAATGAATTAAACGGGTTGCACCAGTCGTATCTATATTCAAGTAAGATTCTGACCAGATCACTTCGAGTTTGGAATCGATATGCTTTTTGATCAGTTCGAATAGGGCTGCAAACGTCAAGTCAAGTCAAGCATTGACCTTATCGAGCAGGATTGTTTTATTTTTTTTAGCTGCTCGAACTTGATTTACGAGGCTCGAACTTGACTTGATAAAAAAGTACAATCACTCGAGCTCGGTTCGAAATTTTTAAGTGGAAAAATAAAATTACCTTTATCACCTATGTTATACAATTGTAATATATATAAGAGATATTTTAGTAATTCAACATATATTATATGGGCGAGATACACGGCTACAGTGCCCTTCAACTGGCCGGCCTTGGGTAGGGCGGGTCGAGACCATTGTTACCCAGGTCCCACTGTTATTATTATAATATATATATATATATATATATTATATATAATAAAATATGAAATACAAAATATTCTTAAATCTCAATTTTTAATTCTTTTATATTTTCTTCGTTTTATAAATCTCATGACAATAATAATGAGTAGTTATTATTAGTGAAATTAAAACGTTTTACATATTTTTTTCTTTTAGACTTTTAATACTTACACCATAAATAATACGGCATAAAAAATGATTATGACTTTGATTAAATTTCCAGCATTAAGGTTTACTCACAAATTTAAACTTTCCTTTAATTCTCTGCATTTTTCTTTTTCTATCTATTTTCATTTTAAATTTTTGCAAAATTGCTTAACTTAAAAAAATATTTATTGAGCGCATTTTAGCACCGACCCCCTTCACAGAACAAAAGCCCAGTCCACATCCAAATGTACCTCAGAAAGCCCAAAACAACACGCACAGAAGTGTGCCCTTTTCCCACTTTATCCCCTTCAAATGGCACACAACGCCAGCCGCAGGCCCTCCGCCGCCATGAACCGCCACCATCCGCCGCTTCCCATCCACCCCCTCCCAGATCCCGCCTTGGCCCCACCCACGACCGTCCAGGACATATCCGCTCGCTTCTCGAAGCTCCGGGCGAATCACAAGAAGCACGCTCCTCACTCCTCCGAGCCCGGCCCGCATCCTCAGCCCGACCCGAGTTTTCCGACCCGCCGCAAAGATCCCACCTTTTCTCCAGCTTCGGACACCTCCTGCACCACTGCCCTGACAAAATCGATCAGCCAGAAGGAAAGAACCAGCAGCTTCAGGTCGGCCATGGCCGCGAAAATCGATGTGAATGAAAAACTAGGTTCAAGAAAACCGTGTTCCGACAAGGGCCTAAAGAAAGATTTGACCTTTGTGCCGTCGGAGTTGGTTTTGAGCAGCTTGGAGAAACTCGAAGAGGTGAAGAGGGTTGAAGAAGGGGTTAATGAGGGGTGGAGAAGAAGCTCTGTGTCTTGTATACCGCCGGTTGTCAATGGAGGGAGAAGAAGATCATTTTGCAGCTCGCAGGCTGAGCTGGCGAGTTTCTTGTCCGGCAGCGGCGTGAGGGTTGTGGCGGCGAATATGCCGCCGTTGATGCAGATTCACGCGGTGGATTGTGCGAGGAAGGCGCGTGATAGCCTGGAGAAGTTCACCGCAAAGACTCTTGCTTTTACACTAAAAAAGGTAGAAAATTGGATCTTGGGATATTTGTTCCTGTTATTTGTTTTGATGGTGCATTTTCTGTTAACTAAGTATGAAAGGTGTAGGGTCCCTTGCACAAGAATTTGGGATTTTAATTTATTTTTTCCCTAGAAAAAAATTGTTGAGATTGACAGATTGTGTTGGTTATTGAGTGTGTTTTTATGTCTTCAACCATGGACTTTGCTTTCACAGTCTGATAGGGATCTAAAATGGTTGTTTGAGATTAACAGATGATGGGTTTTGATACTCTGTATGTAAGGTACAGTTTTGTTAGTTTGATTATTGTGTTTCTAATCTTGGTCAGACTCTTAATTTTCACACTCAAAATTGCGGGTTAGATCATGGTAAAACTTGTTTATTTATTTATAATTAATAAATGAGAGGATCTGATGGAAGACTCAATCCTACTCAGGTAGTTTTAATGGTCCAATCGACACACACCCATACGTGTGTGTGTGTGTGATCGGAAGGTTAAAAACCCATGGGTACTATGATGAAATTCACCATTTTAATGTTGGTGTGTGAGTGTGTGTTTAACCGTTGAATTTATGAGTTCTTGCTTTCACACTTAAAGGTGATTAAAAATTTAAATCATGGCATTGGTCATTTTTGTGCATTCATTGATCCAGGTGCTTTGATAATTTGTCTTGTGCTCTCTGTGTTCAAGTTATTTAATTACACAAGTCCTTTTGGATATTGATTAAATTGTTCATTTCTAGTTGGTAAGGTAATTAAATAATGATGATCTCAGTTCTATTACATTAGGTAGTGACAATTTTGGCAACTTCTTTTCCATCTTCATGTAGGGATTATTCTACGTTTTAGCTATTGAGTTCCTTCTACATCCCACGAGGTTTAAAACTCTCGTCGGGCAATCGAACTTGCTCTTTTACTTCTTGGTATATTCTTACTTCCACACTTTTAAGCTAAATTAAATCATGATATTATTAAATTATTCTTGTTGACTAATAGCATACATGAAGGGTTCTTTTTATATAAATTTTGTTTTTCAAATCAATGTTTGTTTCATCTTTGATCTGATGGTTATGAGTGTCTCTTGCTTCTTCTNTATTATTGATCTGTATGTACTATCTTTCGATCAGATAGTTATGAATTTTTCTTCTTGTGTTGCTTTTCTGCAGGAATTTGATGGGGTCTATGGACCAGCTTGGCACTGCATAGTGGGGACAAGTTTTGGTTCATTTGTGACACATTCAATGGGTGGTTTCATGTACTTTTCTATGGATCACAAGCTTTACATCCTTCTATTCAAAACCAATGTACAGAGGGCAGAAAAGTAACTTCACAAAGCCTTTTGAGTTTGACACTGATTTTTAGGGGGGAAAATGTATTTTTGAAAAGATAATGTTGCCCTCCTTTGTTTTGTACATCGTTCGGGTGCTGCTAAGGAAAAAAAATGTAACACTGTGGAGTGTGTAGCATTTGCATATGACTCAAATTGTCAATGGCCCCTTTTTTTGTTGTGTTCTTGGGAGAATTTGAGGCTTTGTGTAGGTGAATGATGGATCAAAATCACATGATGTCTAATTGCCTTTCTATGGTTATCTAATTTTGTCCCCCTGTTTTTGTATTTGTTTCATTAAACTATATAGTTGGATACATGAGAGAGTCCTTATGTCAAATATTCGATCACTTTTTTAACTCTAAATCTAATTTAAATTTAACTTAACTCAACTCTCCCTAATATTATTAATATAATTGAATAATATCAATTAATCATCTTCACGCATTACACCAACTTTAGTTCACTCACATAATTTTAATTATCCGTCACTCCCAGTCACATTTCTTATATTTTTACATCTAATGAACTTTAATCATTTCATTTTAGATATTTTCTATCCCTCTCTTTTTTTTCTCCCCTTTCGCATTTTCTTATAGCTGATTATGTTCATTTATATTCTATGAGTTTTTTTTTTTTTCATTAGCTGGGTTTGGTGGTGATTTCAAGAGTTGAACCAGGATTGTAGTTAAGGCCTTCAATTTGGTATTCATAAGCTCAATCAGAGTTTAAATTATTTGAAGCAGTCCATTTCATGTATATGCATACAAGTGTAGTTATTGTGCACATTAGAGGGTGTATTCAGCATTGTGTCTTTAGCCAAACCAAAATATTTATTAATGTGTTGTTCTCCAATGAATTTGCTATATTTATGAGTATAAAGCTATTTATGATCTATCACACTATTATTATGAATATAATCCTACAATTTACTATTAAAGTTGTTAGATATGTGTAATGGTTAGGCAATCGTACTTTTTTTTTTTTATAAAGATTGACAACTGAATTTTTTTTATAGATTGTCATACTTTCAAACTAAAATATACTATACAAAAATAAAATAAACGATACTATAATAATATATAATATAAGTATGTATTCTTACTAAACCATCTAAGTCTCAATTTTATTTTATATTATATCTACCCATACCTGATCCTCTAAAACCACTCTGCAAATTTAAGTAGACTTGCAAGTTTAAAATGATGGCTCGAACAAATTTTAACTAGACTTCCATACCTAAAAAGCCTATTTCAATTCAAAGCCATTACTTCGTAAAAAAATATATCAAATCACATAGTACAAGATTTCTTTCAATGAACTTTATTTACTATGACCAAGCCCTGTCAAATCTTCAATATTCTCTAAATCTCTAATTTTTTTTTTCACTTTCAGAAAATATTAAGAAAATCTCATAATTTATTTTATTTTAAAAATAAGAAAAAATAGTTATGATTTAAAAGTGTGTTGGAGTTTCAAAAAATAAGAAAAAATAGTTATGATTATATTTTTGTTTATTGTTTAGATACATATACCCTAATAATCGGCATAATTTTATCTAAAGGATTTCATACTTTAAAAAATAATATAAATAAAAATATGACATTTGATAATATAAGTATGCATTTTTATTCATAAAATGCGACAAGTTGATCGGCCCAATAATTAAGGGGATGGTTGGATATAAAATTTTTATGATTTGTTTGGATTGTTTTGATTAATTTTGAAAAATGTGGTATAGTTATGGTGTGTTTGTAAACTAATAAATTCACTCAATGTGAGTTTTTTTTAGTTAACTAGTGTTAATTTTGAAAAAAGTGGTGTAGTTAGTTGTTAGTGAGATTTAGATTTTATATTAAAATAATATTTAAAGTAAAATAATTAAAGTTGATTTGATGTAAAAGTATGAGATAAATGATTGGAAGTAATAAGTAGTTAAAATTATGTGAGTGGATGAATAGTGAATTAAAGTTAATATGATGTGTAATAATGATTGATTGTTATTATTTAATTTTATTAATAATATTGAGGATAATGTGGTTTGGTTAAAGTTGAGTTAGATTTTTTAGTATGAATTAATTTGGATTGAGAAAATTGATTTACAAACACAACCTTAGTTGTTAGTGTATATATTAAAATAATATTTAAAATAAAATAATTAAAGTTGATTTGATGTAAAAGGATGAGAAAGATGATTTGGAGCTATGATTAGTTAAAATTATGTGAGTTGATGAATAATGAATTTAAGTTGATGTAGTGTGTAAGAATAATTGATTGATATTATTTAATTATGTTGATAATATTGATATATGATAGTGAGGTTGAATTAAAATTGAATTAAAAAAAAGTGATAGAAATAAAAATGTTTGTATTTTTTTTAGAAGATTTGTATCAAGCATCTTATAAGTCCATCTGACATTAACAATTTGTATAAAACTAAATGTGATACTGGAAAACCAATATAAATAAAAACTATATTATTTCTATTTCACAATAACCTGTGTTAGTTTTAACTTTTATATCTCAAACAATTGGATTTGGCCACCCAATCTCATCCAATCAAAACCAAACAAAAAGCATAGAAATAAATACCTCTATGCATATATGGGCCAGGCAAAAATGGATTAATTTTATTATTTATATTATTAAAATGTGGGGAAAAGATGTGATTTATGCACTTAATGAAGCTATTTGTATAACAAATATTAAAGTAAAAATAAAATAAAAACCAGATTTTGGCAGATATGCTTTATAATGATTTGATCATTCAGTTGGCTATTATCAACTTTCTCTGGAGTTGTTGGGATCCTATTACCAGAGTTGGTAGGAGTGTCTCGCTAATATTTTATTTTATTTAAGAAATAAAAAATTTCAATTAAATATGTCCTATTGTTTACCAATTAAATTTAATAAAATGATGTGTTCTCACTTGGTAGGATATATATTTAGACTATTTAGACTAATTTAACCGGTAGGACGGTCAGTACTTTTTTCAATAAATATGCATACTTTCATACTAAAATATTATTATAAAAAATTAAAAAATTAAAAAAAAAGATATTTCATAACAATAGTATGTATTTTTGTAACAAGAGCATGGCAGATTGACAAGTGAACCCACCTAACTGTAAGACTGCCTCACAAAAAAAATTGCACGAGGACTAAGTTAAGCGGGTAAATCTGTTATACTTTATTAAATAAAAATATATAATTAGGCTGTGAATTGTCATATCTTTTGTTTATATTATTTTTTTTACAGTATGAAGCTTCAATTTGAAAGTATAATTATAGATCTGTTATACTGTCTTAAATAAAAATATATATTTTTAAGTTATGAATTGTCATATCTTTTGTTTATATTATTTTTTACAATATGAAGCTTCAATTTGAAAGTATAATTATCTATTCGTATGATTGTCTAACTATTTAATATGACTAACAGTAACATTATTTAAAGAAATAAAACTAAGAGTAGTAGGGTATGTATAAAATTGTGAAATTGATATTCAGAATCCAAGTTCAAACCTTTTGACTTCTAACTCATAAATAATGTATGGTTGAGAATGAAACTGCCCGCTTGAACAAATTTTACCAACGATATTGTGAAAGCAACAAACATCCAACAAGAAAATTATGAAATTGATATTCAAAATCCAAATGCAAACCTTTTGACTTCTAGCTCGTAAATAACACATGGTTGAGAATGAAACTGCCCGTTCGAACAAACATGCAACAAGATATTGAAGGGAAAATTACAATTTGCCTGTCAAACTTAATTTATGTTTTCTTTATTTACTTACTTTTGGGGAAAAATACGTTAACTCGCTTAATTATAGGATTTATTGCGTTTTATCCAATCAATTTTTTTTCGTGACACTTTATTCATATAATTTTGTAAAAAAATTGTTGAATAATCAATTTTTGATCATCCTCGGATTTATGAATATTTGGAATTACTCCATATATATACACATGTCTCTTGTGGCTAAAAATTATCGAAGTTTCGTTCCAACTTTACTCGCGTAATCCCATATTGATTTGTTGTGGTGTTAATCCATATATGACACGTATTTAGATATTTTTTTAATTTAAATAAAATCAATGATTTCATCTCTTGCGGTTAAAAATTACTGAAAGTTCATTGGAATTTTATTCCCATGATTTTGCACAAGATCTTATGATGATTGTTTTGGAATTATTCACTATACACCGCATATTCCATAAATCCACTTATCTATACTTATATAATAAGAAACATTTATCCAAAATAGTAGGTCAACTTATGGTCAATGTTGGATTTGCATTAAATATTTTCCAAAACCGGTAAATTTTTGTCCTTTTCACACTTTTCATTAATTATGTCATTTTCACACTTCTCATTAATTATGTCCTTTTCACACATCTAATTAAATCATTTCATATGAGCTTTTATCCATAAAACGTATAGCGATCTGTTATGACCTTATCCTATTGATATTTCCATGAAGCGTCCTTATGGCGTTCTATTTTTTGGTAATCACTCTATATCAATAACCGGATATTTAGTTAATGATAGCACACGTCTTTATTTCAAGGTGCGGGTATTATTTGACCTTTAATTAATCTGAACTGATTGACTTGACTTTTCAATTTTTAAAAACTCTTTTTTTATCGCACGTTAGTCTTTTTCTTGAATAAACTCATTTTTAGTCACGGCCAATTATATGTTGCTGCTTCGCGTGTAAATAATAGAAGGGGGTTGAAAATATTAGTTTGTCATAATGAAGAGTTACCAAATAATCAAACTCATAATGTTGTGTACAAGGAGGTTTTTAATAATTTATGATTGTTACCGAACTTTTAATGATTCAACAATGTTCCTATGTATTTTAATAATTTCAATTTTGATCCTAATGCACCTGAGATTATATTATTCTTCCACATTTTACATATAGTGCATCGCACGGGTTACGTACTAGTTTAAATGTATTGTTTTTAACTTAAATACAATAGACTATTTCGGCTCTTAGCCGCTAAGAATTACCGATAGTTCGTTTCATTTTATTCCCCAGGAATCTGCATATCACAATATCTTCTCATGATTTTCTTGAATTATTCCATATATGCCAGATATTCCATAAATCTTCGTATTTAAAATAATTTTTTTAATTTAAACACACTCAATGATTTCGGGAAATTTTAAATCCACATATTACAAAATATTTTTCAAATCACGGTAACTTCAATTCTAATAAAATTTGCACACTATAGAATTTTTATTTCTAAGTCACATAATTTTTCAATTAAAAGCATAGAGAAAGTTTGGAATAAATTTTCTTCCTAAAGCTTGATGACTTTATTTATAGTATCTCATAAAAAAATTATATA